ATATAAAGAGTTTGTTGGAGTACATTAAAATTTTAACTCTTTAAATTTATAGATGTTCTCCAAATGATGAAATATGCTCTTTAAGAATAAAGAGTCTCTTGGATATGCTACTTAAAGCTTAACTTAAAAGTAATACCAAAGAAAAGAAGCAAGCTTTGGATGAAAGCAACTGCCTCTTTCCTTGCATTTTCTTGGAAACATTTCCCTGCTAGTAGTGGTTGACTTCGATGAGAAGAAGTCCTCGCTGCAATTTCTCTATATTAATCTTCACACTCTCAACCCAAAAATGCCTTGTTACTTTCATCTCAAAACCATATTCAACATCCATTTCTTTGGCTCTGAGAATCTCTTTCCATGTAAGTCGTTTAATGCCCCAGTTATTTTTTATTTTTATTCTTATTTATCGAGAAATTAATTATAGAGTTAAAATTACTGTAATTGCAAATCATTTGCTACTCGGCTTGAACATCAAGTCATAAATATAATGTCTGATTTCACGGTGCATATTTATTCTTTCCTTTTCCCTTTAATTCACCCTAAGTAAATATTTGGAACTTTGCTTCATTGTTAAACTTAATGTTGAATGATAGAAGAGTGAATATATGATAAATTATTTACTATAATTTGTAAAAGTCAAATTATTTTATACAAAATTATATGCCAATAAATTTTAAGGAACCTAAGATGGGTATAAATACTTTTCTACTATGTTAATACACATGAACTAATGTGCACATTTATGAATCCTTTGTTCATACATAGGCAAAACAGGGTCTTTAATTTCAACCCATATTGTAGATTGGTTTGAGCTACACAGTTTTACTAGGCTCGTGTACAATTCATGAGATTTTATTGAGAGTTTTCTATCTAAGGGGGACTTGTTTCTTCATAAATAGAGTGATATGTCCGCGTGTGATCCTTATATCATACATATCTACCATTTCAGCTATATTTTGGTATCTTGTTATATAATTATAATTTGTGACCAACGTGCTATTTCCCTTTCTTCAAACATTAGAAGGAACATATTTATATGTTTGTGTAGACTTTATTGTTTTTCTTTATTCGAGACTACAGCACACTAAAATTTCTATATATGGATCATGTTTGTTGGATATTATTACAATTTTCCTTGCCGTTTGCCGATTCCTTAGTATTTAGTGTCAAAACTTATATAATTTTCACTTTCTACCTCTTCCCTCTTTAAGAACTTAGGGTGCGTTTGATTGTAAGGGTGGAAAATGGGTGGAAAGAAAATGTTTTATTGGGAAAAGATTTGCCTAGAAACTGTTTTGCAGGGAAAATGATTTCAAGTGTGTTTGATTGGTATAATTTTCCACCCGGAAAATTTTTAAACTTTATATTCGTTTGACTTTGTTTTACATGGAAATTGTCATATTTTTTTCCACAATTGGTTATAAAATTTGTTTTCATTGCCAAAAAGTTAAAAAAAAAAAAAAAAAATTATTTCCTAAAAAATTATTTTTTTTATCAAAGTTTAGTATTCGTTTGACTTTGTTTT